GGTCACAACTTTTCAGTTAACTCAGAGAATATTAGGGAAATGATAGTTCACTTGTCCTTAAAACTTAGCTCCAAAATTAGTAGTAAACTAGAAAAATGAATATTCTCTTCGAAAATGGATGTTGCCAGTAGACTGAGTAGGTCAATTCTAGTTTGCACAAGATGCTAAGATACATCTGTTGACACTGGGAATGAAAGAATTAAAAGAACAGGGCTGTATGTAAAAAACACTGTGTATCAAATTTCAGAGAAGTACAACATCAATTTACAACAGATTTATTCTGTAACCACAGATAACGGCTCTAATACGATTAAATTTGTTGATTTGCTCAGAAAGGATAGTGAAATCAAATGGCCAATGTCAGGGTAAAATGACAATTTTGAAGACTCTGACTTCATGCACTCTGACTTGCAGACCTTAACCATCGCAAAGTGTGGTGAAAGCGACAAGGTTTATAAGAAAAGATTGGTATGAAGTGTGCTGCACACACACTTCAATTAGTTATTAAAGACACAGTAAAGGATGCTGAATTGGAAGAATTTTTAGAACATCGTGAACTCATTCAAATGTTTTGTATTCTGACATTGTCTACCAAATTTTCAGAAAATAGTTTAAGGAAACCTGTACTGCAACAATCTCTGCGATGTATTAGCTGAGAATAATATGAAATATTACTTTTCTGATGACAAATGGGCATACGCAAATTAATTTTGGAAACTTCATAACTTTTAAAGAAAGTTATGGTAAGACTGCAAAGTGAACAATTAACCATGAGTGATGTTTTTGGTAGTGGGTGGAAATTAAGCTAGAATTAAGTATTCTTAATAATACATTGGAAAACACACTGATCGAAAAATTTAACGGCAGGGAAGAAGTTGTCGTAGAAAATGATAGAGTATTAGGAGTAGTTAATCTAGACCCTCGTTACCAAATTGTAGTTAGTTCTGAACTTAAGGTGAAGGTCCTATTATATTTAAAAAGCATTTGAGAAATCATAGAAAATCTGAAAAAGAGCAATACTAAAAGTGTAACAAAAGAAAGCAATTCAGGAAATACTCTCGTTTCAAATGATGATGTTGATGAGATGGAATTATTTCTCAAAATGAAAGAAAAAAATTGAGATCAAACGACGTACTGTTAACAGTGACTCTATATTTACAAGCTTTGATGGTGTACAAAGAGTTGAGTGAAAAAAAAAAAGTATTCTTGAATTTTGGGAAGAAAACCATTCACAATATCCCCAGTTATACGAAACTGCTATGGTAGTTTTGGGTGCATCGGCTTCTCAGTTCAGTGTTGAGAGTGCTTTCTTGGGTTTGAAATTCATCTTGTGAAACAGGGATAGCTTAAATGAAAAAATATTAAAGGACATTCTTTTAACTAGGTGTAATTATGGTTTATTACAACAATGTTTTCTTAATGAACTGTACCACTGTGTATAAATTAAAGCTGTATTTGTAATAAAATGCTTCTTTTATGTAATGTTACAGCAATTCTTCAGCTTAGAACTGGGGTGAATATTAAA